AAAGAGGCAGGATCAATTCTGAACTGGCTAGAGAGCTGCACTTGGCTGCAGGTCAGTGCAGACTAGAGCTTGTTCCAACTAGAGAAGGATTCTAAGCCTCTCTAGCAAAAGCTTGTCACTTGGCAGACTCTTTCATTTCCAGACTACCCTGACCCTGAGAACTTCAGCTGGGAAAAATACTTAGCAGAAACAGGTGCTTCTGCAGTGCCAGCTTGGGCCTTTAAGGTGGTAAGCAGCCTGTTCTTTCTTCCAGCCTCTACCATGCATGTGCAAATGTTTTTGTTGGGGGTGAGGGAGTGGGAATCCACCTTGATGCATGTCTGGCAAGGTTGGAGCCTAGAATGTCTGGAGCCTGGGAATCACTCTGGTGCACCAAGATGGGTGGCACTTGCAAGCTCCCGGGGGATTACAGCCATGCTGAGATTGGTTACCATTTAGGGTTGCCAACTACCTACAGATTTAGCTGTAGGTAGCAGCTACAGGCATTGTCTCCAGGAGAAGTAGAATAAAAGTTTTAAATAAACAAGTGATTTATGTAGTCTGGAGATCAGTTATAATCCCAGGAGGTCCCCAGTCCCCACTGGGTGGCCACTTTCCATCCCCAAATAAGGACCAAAACATCACCAAGATGGGTGGCACTTGCAAGCTCCCGGGGGATTACAGCCATGCTGAGATTGGTTACCATTTAGGGTTGCCAACTACCTACAGATTTAGCTGTAGGTAGCAGCTACAGGCATTGTCTCCAGGAGAAGTAGAATAAAAGTTTTAAATAAACAAGTGATTTATGTAGTCTGGAGATCAGTTAAAATCCCAGGAGGTCCCCAGTCCCCACTGGGTGGTCACTTTCCATCCCCAAATAAGGACCAAAACATGGATTCATGTTGAAACCCCCTCATTTGGATACAATTAGTCAGGGAGAAGATATTGCTTGTACAATTGGGCTTCCACCCCTTCCTCATTCTTTCCCACTCCAGAGGCAACCCCATGGCTTCCTGGTCAACATGAAGTTGGAGGCAGTGGACCGAAGGACTCCCGCCCTGATCCGAGTGGCCAGTGTTGAAGATGTCGAAGACTACAGGATAAAGGTGGGGCTCTCTTCTGGCTCTGTTGTCATGTATGTGGGGGTCCCTTCTGGCTCTGTTGTTAATCTCTTCCTGTCTTTGCCTTCTTGTTTTGTGATGGTACACAGAGAAAATAAAACCATCTGGAGGGAATAAGTGGAGGTGGGGGTCCCCAGCTGTCAGGCCTGCCCCCTGCTGCTGATTGGCTGGCTTTTGTCATAGAGTTTTTGCCCAAATACCCAAGTGTTGCAGTAACCTTGCAGTGTGATGACATTACTTCCTGTGCAACACCAGTGACGCGGTTTTGTTTGGGCCTTCCTCTTTCTCCAGGTAAGTCCCCTCATTCCCCACCAGTTGTCAGAAGGAACCTGGCAACCCTAGAAATAAGAGACTTCCCCCCTTTCTTTGCTACAGAGCTAGAGTGGAAGGAATGATGAATTAACCATCTTCGGCTGGCTCGGCAGTTGGTCCCCTTCCTTGACTGCGATGACCTGGCCACTGTGATCCATGCGACGGTCACCTCGAGGCTAGACTACTGTAACGCTCTCTACTTGGGGCTGCCTTTATCACAAGTCCGGAAGCCGACGCTAGTGCAGAGTGCTGCAGCCAGGCTGTTGATGGGTCTCTCTAGGAGGGATCACATCCGGCCTGTGTTGAAAGTGCTGCACTGGCTGCCAATAGCGTACCGGATTCACTTCAAAGTGCTGGTTCTTACCTTTAAAGCCCTATATGGCCAGGGTCCGGCTTACCTAAGGGACCGCTTTTCCCCCAAGGGCACTACGGTCAGGGAGTCAACACCTCCTGGTAATTCCAGGCCACAGGGACATCAAATTTGCTGCTACCAGGGCCAGGGCTTTTTCGGTAGCGGCTCCTACCTGGTGGAATGAGCTCCCGGAGGAGATCCGGACCCTGCAGGACCTTTCGCAGTTCTGCAGGGCCTGTAAGATGGAGCTCTTCTGCCAGGCTTTTGAGTAGGAGCCGCCGCCACTACTATTCCATCTTTGTCATTTTTACACCATCGCACACCCCCCCCCCCATTTATGTGGGTACCATCGGGGTGCGAGACGACCCTGGATCGAGAAGTGATGACAGTGCTACTGGAACATATGCTGGTTTGGGATTAGCTCCATCTTGGGATAAAGGATTGATGTAACACCTAGAGCACCAACATTTTATTGGATTGTATTATATTGTTTTATTTTGTTTTTATCTGTTTTAATGTTGGCATTCGTGCCATTTTGTTAGCCGCCCTGAGCCTTCGGGGAGGGCGGGGTATAAATCTAAAAAATAAATAAATAAAATAAATAAAGTTTGCTTTCCACCTGCGGCTCACTGCTATCTCAGCATATGTGTATTCTGGCATTGTACACAAGCACCAGGAAGCTACAAAATGTGGTACTGGCTATAGAATTCAGCATACTAAGAACCTCAGTTATTCATATTTTGGAAAGACCAGACTTCTAGACTACAGGCTTTGAAGTGTTTTGGCAATGCCAGAAGAAATCTCTGACAGATGGGGAGGGGGGGTAATTTTTCCAGTGCCCCACATAGCTGAGTATAGATCACAGTGGCTAGCAAAAACAGGACAGATTATGCAAATGAAACAAATTCATGCGGATGCCTTATAATTTGTACAGTTTAGTTTGCAGAAATGAGCTCTTCTGGGTGCAGAATTTGGTTGACTCTAGCGTGAGTGTTGTTAGTTATTCCACCACATTAGTAGGCATAGTGCAAAGCCACCAAGGAGCTTTGCTCCTCCCATTAAAACACCTTGAGCACAACCCACATTTTCTCTTCGTGCTGATGGGATAGAGTGGGGGGACATATTTTAAGATAATTGCATGCATCTAGAAACTCATCAGTTCTGCTTTTAAATATAGTGTCTTAGATCTCTGTGACACTTTTACAACAAAAAGTGTGTCTCTGCCCCCTAAGCAATTCTCCCCTGTTCTAATCAAGCTGGTTACAATATGCATGGTACCTTTGCATCCCGACTCCATTCTTTGCATCATCCCTCTCACCTTCTGACTGATAAGGGCTCAGGGACCACCATTCCTACTTAATAATATAAAAGAAGCCAATGTTGGATCAGGCCAGTGGCCCATCCAGTCCAACACTCTGTCACACAGTGGCCAAAAATACCAGGTGCCATCAGGAGGTCCACCAGTGGGGGCAGGACATTAGAAGCCATCCCACTGTTGCCCCCAAGCACCAAGAATACAGAGCATTACTTGCCCCAGAGTCCCTATCTATACCTTGTGGCTAATAGCCACCAATCGACCTCTGCTCCATATGCTTATCTAATTCCCTCTTGAAGCCGTCCATGCTTGTAGCTGCCACCACCTCCTGTGGCAGTGAATTCCATGTGTTAATCACTCTTTGGGTGAAGAAGTACTTCCTTTTATCTGTTCTAACCCGACCGCTCAGCAATTTCATGGAGTGCCCACGAGTTCTTGTATTGTGAGAAAGGGAGAAAAGTACTTCTTTCTCAACCTGCTCTATCCCATGCATAATCTTATAAACCTAGATCATGTCACCCCTCAGCCATCATATCTCCAAGTGAAAGAGCCCTAAGTGCTTTAACCTTTCCTCCTAGGGAAAGTGTTCCAACCCTTTTATCATCCGAGTTGCCCTTTTCTGCACTTTTTTCAAAGTTGTAATCTCCTTTTTGAGGTGTGGTGACCAGAACTGTACACAGTACTCCAAATGAGGCTGTACCATTGATTTATACAGGGGCATTATGATACTGGCCGATCTGTTTTCAATACCCCTCCTAATAATCCCCAGCATAGCGTTGACCTTTTTTATTGCAGTCGCACACTGTCTCGACATTTTCAGTGAGTTATCTACTTGTACCTGACAAAGGGGACTTTGATTTATATCCTGGAAATCTTGTTAGTCTTTATGGTGCTCCTTTCCTGTAATCTCGCTCACGTACTGCAGACCAACACAGCTACCCACCTGGGTCTCCACATTTCCACCATGAAAGCAATGTCATTTTAAAAAATCATATTTGAAAAGCATTTGCATGTTTGAAGAAACTCTGCAACTAGTCCTCTAGGAGTGGCTAGTTGGCTGAGGCTCCCAGTCAAAGGCTGTTATGAGCCTTTAGTCACGCAAATGCCCTTTGAACGTTACCAAAAGCAAATGCCTTGTCTGCTGTAGAAACAGGGGATCCAGTCTTTGGTTTAACTTATGCAGCAGCCTTTAGTGCATCTGCGCCCCACAACCTGATTTTCACCCCCTTCCTTGCTTTTTTGATGTTCAGGAGAATGATCCTGAAATCTAACAGCAACTTATTTGATTTCTGCCTACAGATCCATTTTGATGGTTGGAGCCATATCTATGATTTCTGGATTGATTCTGATCACCCAGACATTCATCCTGTGGGATGGTGCTCCAAAACAGGACATCCGTTGCAGCCTCCTCTCAGTAAGTACGAAGACTGAGCAAGAGGCTGTGGCTGCCCCCTGTGAAATGACAGCAACAATAGTAAACTCAGTTTCACTGTGAACTGGCACAGGCTGCCACTGCCAGGGCCTCTGAGGACACAGCCCCAGCCCTTGGTTCAAAGCTTACCTGCAAGTACTCAAAACTCACTTTCAACCCCATCTCCAGTCATGCCGTGGAAGTTTGCTGGGTGACCCTGGGCCAGTCACACTCTTAGCCTTACCTCCCTCACAGGGATGCTGTACAGATAAAATGGAGGTGAGGAGAAGGATGTAAAGCTGCTTTGGGTCCCCATTGGGGAGAAAGGCAGGGTACAAAGAAATCAAATAAATAAAATCCAGAACACGTGCTTATCTCACCACCAGCTGTTTGTGCCCTTTTTGCTCTCCTCCTTTCGGGAATCTGAGGATATTCTTTGTAGCATCCCACCTCTGTGCCTTCAGAATCCTCCAACTTAGATGCTGGGTTGGTCTCCTGTCGTTGCCCTGTCCCCTTGCACCTGCTGCCTCCAACCTGCGACAAGAACCCCCCCCCCATTTGTTTACTTTAATTATATTTTTACAAGCTGCCCTGGGTCCCCACTGGGGAGAAAAGGGGGGGTAAAAACACCTAAATAAATAAAATTTAAAATGGTCTACTCTTTTCCCGGTCCCAGCCACAAAGAACTCGTTTCAGCTTTGCTGCCAGCTCTTGTTCCCTGGTGTCTCATTTATAGAGGCTCCCCCTGTCTCGTACTTGAGTGCTGCAAAACTGAGTTCCTTTCCATTCAGGCCAATTCACTTCCAATTTAGGGTTGCCAGCCTCCAGGCGGGGCTTGGAGTTCGCCCAGAATTACAGCTGATCACCAGACTTCAGAAATCAGCTCCCTTGGAGGAAGTTTTGGAGCATAGACACCGTGGCGTCACATTCATGCTGCATTTTCTCCCCCAACGCCCCCCAAATATCTAGGAATTTCTAAGCTAGAGTTGGCAACTCTACTTCCTATTTGGGCCTGAATAACCTGGTTGGCCCCAAGGATGCCTTGACAGGTTCCCTGGGGCTACAGGAAATGGCATTCCACACAGGAGTCCACTAAGAATACATTATTACCTCTTTTGTCCACATACAGTCCTCATGTTAGCCTCTCCCTCTGAAAACCCACTTACATACAGTAGACTACCCCTGCCCAGCCCCTGCAGTCATTCCTTGCACCAGGCCACACCCACATGCTGCTTCGTGGGTTCTAGCACACAAGCCTGGGTTCTAGCACATTTGCAAGCCTCGCTCAAGCCCATATAGCCAATACCATTCTGTGAACTGGAGTTCTGAGACAGGAGTATATTAGTGCTGTCCTAAGCAGAGTTACATTCTTCGAAGTGCATTGAAATCCGTGAAGTCAGGGTGCAGCTCTGCTCAGGGTTAACCTGCAAATCAGCTCATCCAAACGGATGTCTGTTAACATGGAATTCAGTTCCGTAATTCTGTATTGTACCCAAGGTCTTTTGTGGAATCCTTCCTTAGAGGATCAACAGGGGTAAACCTAGAGATGCCTGTTGTGAGAACGCAACTGTAGCACTTGTCAGTATAAACTAACCCTGTATAAAGTGTTACCTGTACCTGTTCCCACCCCCTTTAGGTTCGTAAAGGTCTGGTGAGTGCCCTTTACCAAGACCGGGGAGAATGTAAAAAAAAGTTAGCTGGAATGCAACACAAGGTTATTTAAACAATAAAATTGTTTATTAGCTAAAGGCAAACAAGGAATACAAAACAGAGTACTTGCTTTCTAAAAAAAAAAGACAGTCAGTGGTTAAATATACAGAACAAAGATTTCCCCATGCACAGAAGCTTCTGGACTGGCCCAGAGAGATCACGAAAGACAAAGCCTTCCCTTGATCTCTGAGAGTCAGTCCTGAAATGGAGCTTCTTGCCTTCTTTTATACCATATTGGTCACATACATTTCGATCCTGGCTGGAGGTGTGATGTGAGTTTCGGCATGTAGGCAAACCTTTAGTATTGCAAATATTCTGGCTTCCTTGACTCAATGGCAGGTGCATACCAATCTTTTATTTCTAAATGTTTCCAAATTCTTTAGATTCATGAACAATGTAGGTGAATGGAAATGTTGGTTTCTGTGTACGTGATGGAGGAAAGGTATCTCTTGAGACAAAGGACTAGCAAATCATGTTGGGAGTCATATTCACTGTGCTGCTTGCTGCTTGGAAAGTTACAGAAATAGAGGAGAGAAAAACACTATGATTTCTTTACAAAATTAACTGTATAAATGGGTTTTAAATTTTCTGAACCAACTATTTCATTTTTCTCACAACAATGCCATTTACAAGCAAAATAATAAGTTTAGCTCCATGTGTAAATTCTAAGTAATGATTAGGCAGTTCACAATTTTTCATTAGAATTAATAAAAGTTTATGGTTCAATAATTTTTTATATAGCAATAACTGGTGTACTAGTTCTTTTTGCTTCTCCCTGCAGTCTGCAGACTTTGTGCCTTGCTGACCGGCCCTCTGTTTGTTGAATATAACTTTGTTGAATATAACTTGTGACAAGCCTGCATTCAAAACTCCAAAATAAACATCTTCTAAAAAATAAAAAATAAGATTCCCCCCTTAGCAGTTATATGCTCCTCAATTCACTGTTATGGGCAGGAAATTGCATGTTCATGTGATGGATTGGGGAAAGGAAGGAAAAGCCAGTCTACACAGATTTTAATGATTTGGAAATAAGACTGGAAGTAAGCATTTACTTTCACAGCCACAGAACGATCATATCGCAGACCTGCTTGAAAACAGAATTACAGCAGCCAGTAAGAAATCCTCATCCAGACTTTTGTCCTCCCTCTTGAGCAGGGCCAAAGGAACCCGCATCTTCTGCCAATGGGAGCTGCCCAACTTTGGCCTGTAAGACCCTTCCCAGCACCAAGGGTTCCAAATACAGCTTTCACAGGTAAGCTTTGCCCATGAGATTCAAAGGGGAATGCCTTGCAAACTCTATTGGCATAGCTTGCATCAGTCTAGATTGCCCTGAGCTGCAGCTGAATCAAATAGAGTGTGGTGCCCATGCAGTGTGGTTGCCATAAGTGTTGTCAATTTAATGTGCTATACACAATATATGACCCACCAGCTGGGTCCCACCTTTTCTGATTCCCTAATGGGTCAGAAGAGGAGTGTGCCTTTAAGCTGAATTGTCCTTTGGACAGTTTGCCAACCATACACAGAACCGTGTATCTTCTCTGATGTCCTCCTCTGTTCTGCAGGAAGTGCCCAACACCTGGTTGTGATGGCTCAGGTCATGTGACAGGCAGGTTCACAGCTCACTACTGCATCTCAGGGTGCCCCCTGGCCGAGAAGAACCAGGGAAGAGTGAAGACTGATCTCTCGGATACCGAGAATGCAGTTAGAAAGAGGAACCTGATTGGCTTCTCTCAGAGGAAGAAATCTCGACATCATGGAAGGTAAGCTGCTGGTGCACCTTGATTGAGGAGCACCATTGAAAAATACAAGTCAAACCCTTTCACTGCCTCGGTTCGGGAGCCGCTCTAGAGAGCTCCGTCAACTGCTACTACCTTGTAAGGAGGCATCTGTCCCTTCCCTATAGCAGTGTTTCTCAAAGCTTCTGAATTTGGTCCTCTGTTCCAAATGGAGTCTTTCTTCTCACCAAACATTGTTACACAGCAAAGCATGCAGAGAATCTTGCATAAACATGCAATCTGTCTCCAAGGATCTGGAGATCAGGGCAGTTTTATAGTCCTGACATTATTAAAAAGGGGCAGGACAAGGCATTTCTCCTTCTGAAACTACACACAGGGATACACTAGTAGAACAAAGCATCATCTTTTCTCGTAGAAGGGATGCTTGTTCTCAGGGGATCAGACATCTCCATAATTCCCATGTAAGGATCGTCTGCTGGAGGAAATGCAACCATATGCTCTGGCCGACAAGAGGAATCTCTACCTGTTTCCTGAGGAAAGGAGAAGTTTCTTAGGTTCATCTTAGAATCCCATCCCTCTGTGGACAATTGCATCCCCTTTGAGTTATTCCATTTCCCTCCCAAAAAGCAAATGTCCCATAGTTTGAGTACCAGTGCAAAAAATGGTTGGTGTTTCCCATTCTGTCTATAACGACCATCTCTATCTTCTTGTTGGAAAATCCTGCCCCAGCTCATATGTTTAGAGGGAACGATACCATTTTCATGTGACAGAGATGTGAGTTCACTTGTCTTCCTTGTAACAATGACTATAAGTAATGGTTGAAGGGGTTGTGTTCCACTGTAACTGAGGAAGTGTGCTTGCACATGAAAGCTTATACCATGAATAAAACTTTGTTGGTCTTAAAGGTGCCACTGGACTCGAACTTTGTTCCGCTGCTTCAGACCAACATGGCTGCCCCGCCTGAATCTTGTATCTAATGAGATCTGCTGGTGGAATGGACCTCACAGGGCAGGACTTTCCTGCTTCTCTCTCCCGGTGCAGCCCTCTGAGCTCCCTAAAATTTTCTTTTTGGGGGTCAGCAGGCCCTCTGGGACAGCATAGGCAAAATCGGGGTAATCAGTGGGAAATCACCATCCCCTCTTTTGAAGACAGAAGTGCTCTTCAGAACTGCATGGGTGGATACAAGCCACTAATGTTTCATGTGCCCTGGGCACCCTATGCAAATACTTGATTGTAGAGCTGGCCCAGTTCAGATCATTTTTGCCCCCTCAGAAAAAAAAGAAGGGAAGAATCCAAACGGGTGAACTGAGGATCAGCTAACGTGGTCTACTATAGCTCCTCACCTTCCAATGGAGCCCTTGGTAGTTTGGAAATAAAGCCTTTCTTGTTTCTCTAGGGGGCGACCTCCCAAATACCGGAAAATCCAGCAGGAAGACTTTCAAAGTAAGCACGTGTTTTCTTTGTCTCTGTTTTGCTTGTACACAAAGAGAGGGCTTCTTCCGCAAGAACTGTGTTACACGGCAGATGAACAAGCTGTTAAGAGGGCACTTCAAAGAATAAAAGTTGCTGTGTAAAATTAATAGATAATGTACCCAAGACACATGTGATTTTCATTTTGAGCAATGTCTTTGTTGTAACATGGTCTGGCTGTTTCCTCTTTATGCAACATGGGAGTAATCCGCTGTATCACCATAGTGACTAAAACCTTCTTAAAATGTAATGTGAGAAGGATTAAGATGTTGTTTCCAAGGAAAGCGTGGATGCTGCTGAGCCGCTTCTCCAATCTTGTTCAGTCAAAACCCTGCACCCAATTGGCTACCCAACCCATCTCTCCCTTAGCCCTTCGGCTGTTTCCTCCCAGTGCCAACTGCCGACAGCCTGATACCCCCTCCCCCCCCCCCCCCTTATCCAACTACCAGCCAATGATGATTCTTGATGCCGCTTTGGAGAGTCATTAAGGCTCACGTGATATATTTGTCGACCCTACAGAGGTGGCCGCTGTGGAAGTGCTGCTCCACATTTACAAGACCACCCTTTCAGCTCTTTTAGATAGCTTTTTGACATATTGTCACCTTCCTCTGTTCCCAACTGTGTGGAAAGCTCCAAACTGACATAAGTGGCTTATTGCAGGATAAGCACTGTTCTGTCTAAACAGCTACATATCTGAAGCCTGCATAAATGAACCCTCTTCCTGTAAATAGTATCCTTACCATCTCACATCTGAGGGTCAAACCATAAATGGTGATGGGACTTTATATAATGGCTGCTCCCTTGGCAGGAGAAGGGAGCTGAACTCTATTGTTCCACCTACCCTTCTCCCACTAAAATAGCCACACCCCAGGTGGCTTTTCTACATGGTGGCATTCACTTCTGGTTTTGGAGCGCGAATGCAAAAGAAACAGTTGTGGACCAGCCTTTATAGGTCAAAAAGCTAGGGTAGAGTTAGGGTTCAGAGTTCTCCTCCTGTCCATCTATTCTATGGTTTCAGTTGTTCCTCACACTCTCTTTCATATGGATTTGGTGTTGGACTCATCTCAATGCCCTGAAGTGAACCATTACATCTAGTTGAGCCCCATTCAGTCCCTGTTTCAGGTCCTGTGGCAATCATGTCTATAAGACATGTGAAAGCCAAAGGAAGGGGGAGATTAGGGGCCAAACCAGATATTAGGGCACACAGTACTAGGGCATACACATATTAGGGCATACAGTACTGTCACCACTCTGTACTTTAATCCGCCTGATAATCCTTTCAATGTCGTTGCCAGCCATTTCTTCAGACAGTATGCACCAATCCCTTTTCATGTCGGCCTTATCAGCGCACCCAGACCGTTCCCTGTCTCTTTGCTGGGAACAGCACTGTAAGCTCCTGCCAGGAGTGGCTGGGATCACAGCATCCACGGTGGCCAAATGGACCATTGATGAGGTAAGAACGTGTGAAAGGGGGGGATGGATCGGTAAAAGCACAAGCTTGCTTCTGAGGGTATCCCTGCCACTACCCCCACCACCCACTTTCTTCCAGTAGATTTTTAGAAAAGGTCCATAAATGGTGATGGGACTTTATATAATGGCTGCTCCCTTGGCAGGAGAAGGGAGCTGAACTCTATTGTTCCACCTACCCTTCTCCCACTAAAATAGCCACACCCCAGGTGGCTTTTCTACATGGTGGCATTCACTTCTGGTTTTGGAGCGTGAATGCAAAAGAAACAGTTGTGGACCAGCCTTTATAGGTCAAAAGGCTAGGGTAGAGTTAGGGTTCAGAGTTATCCTCCTGTCCATCCATTCTATGGTTTCAGTTGTTCCCCACACTCTCTTTCATATGGATTTGGTGTCAGACTCATCTCAATGCCCTGGAGTGAACCATTACATCTAGTTGAGCCCCATTCAGTCCCTGTTTCAGGTCCTGTGGCAACCATGTCTATAAGACATGTGAAAGCCAAAGGAAGGGCTTTTGGAGTGGGATGACAGCATTGTATGAACTGAGGTGGTTGATTCTCAAACCCTGATCTGCTAACATATCACCCTTTTGGGACATTGTTTTACTTTGGTTCTGATGATATAAAGTGGTGATATAAAATGCCCCCTGCCAGGGATCCAAACAAGAAGCGAGAAGACATATAGGTGGCTGACATACTTTTAAAATATGAACTGAATTCTGTATGAGAGCCATCATGGCGTAGTATTTTCTGACAAGCATCTTCTGGGCATGGACCAGGGGTCACTGAATTTCCTGCATTGTGCAGGGAGTTGGACTAGATGACCTTGGAGGTACCAACTCTATGATTCTATAGTGGTTAGAGGTACTGGTCTGGAATCTGTGAGAACTGGCTTTGAATCACCACTCTGCCATGGGGACCTTGCTGGGTGAACTTGGGCCCATCACAATCTCTCAGCCTAATCTACGTCATAAAGTTGTTATTGTGGGGATAGGATGGAGGAGAGGAGAATGATATGATACGCTGCTTTGAGTCCTCCTGTTTAGGCAAAAAATGAGATAAATACCCCCCAAAATTGCATTTCTAAAAATAAGGTAATGCCATGAAGACCAGTTGTGAAATTGTCCAGGCAATCTGTTGGCCTGAGGGTTATGTAGCAACCATTGTTTTCTGTTACAACCAGGCAACTCCACCATCTGTGGCAATACGGAACTAAGGCTAGTCTATATGGACAACAGAAGAAGGTGGTAGAGGTCTGAGGAGGCAAAATGTGCTGCTCCACTGTAGACTGCAGGTGTTTAATCCTCTTCCATGTAAAAAATTCCTATAAATAAAAAGAAATAGCATATTGAGAGGAAGGGCTAGGTGAAAACCTTTCATGTTTTGCTAGTTTCACTATTTTCCACTCAGAAGGAATTATTAATACAGGGGAACTTTGAAATACATAGTTCCTTACCTGTAACCTGAAGTGGCACAGTTCATTATCATCATTTCAGCATTCTGCCACTTCTTTGCCACCTTGTTGTGCTGCATGTCTAGAGTGAGCCGTAGCTTTGCTCTGCAGTAGGCAGGAGAGGAAGGTAGTCGAAGGTTTTGGATGAGCAGCAAGACAGGAGGTTTAGTGGTTGTGTACTGGCTCATCATTAGCTTTATTTTTTTATTGATCTCAGTTAGCATTTAACCACACAGAAATTGCTGATTGTGCAAGAGTTAGTCCCACAGAGCCGAAAGGCAAAAGATGCACTTTGTAAGGAGGTGTGGCTCTCTAAATTTGGCTGCCAGGGCCAACACAGTCAATGAAGGCTGAGGGGCTACAGTTCATGTTACATTTTTTAGGTTTGTATAGCTAGCTAAGTGGAGAAAATACGCTGAATGGCAAGGGAATTACTGGGAGGCATTAGTGATTTCAGGCTTGTGTGTTTTCCCCCATTGCCAGTGCAGTTGTCAATGCAGCTCTTCCACATGGAAGGTTTCCTTGTAGTGTATCTGCCTCAGCAGCAACCATACCCCCTGCCCCGGGCTACTGGGGCTTCTTTACCTTTTTAAAAATTGGCAGTTTAATACCATTGTATTGATACAGCACTATAACAATAAGGCTGCAATCAGACACACAGTTTGATCCAGTGTGGCCCTGCCTCTAATTGATCCAGGTTTTTCTGCAACAGAGAATTGTGATCAGACTCACCCCTTAGTACTCATCAAAGCGTTTTCACCCCATCCTTGAGTAATCAGATGCTGCAGCCAAGGAGTCAGGCCAGCGGCCAATTTTTTTTTTAGTTTGAGCATGCTCACAAGTGCTGATGAGCCTGCTGGGATATGGAGTTCATAGGGTTATCTGCCATTTTTAAAAAAGTTTGTCCTTTGAGCATGTGCGCAGGAGCTGATGAGCCTGCTAGGATATGTAGTTCACTGTCATCCTCCCCCTCTAGTCTTTTCATAAGAACATAAGAGACGCCAATGTTGGATCAGGCCAAAGGCCCATCCAGTCGAACACTCTGTATCACACAGTGGCCAGAAATACCAGTCCCATCAGGAGGTCCACCAGTGGGGCCATCCCTCCCGCCTACTGGGACTTGGCTCGGGTATTTGACGAGGAAGAAGTGGATGAATTGCCCCCCCAATGCAATACTGACTGTGCCATTGAGCTGTTACCCAAGGGTTGCCCAAGGGTAAGCTCTATGCGATGAGCCCTATGGAGAAGGAGGAACTGCGGAAGTTCATTCATAAAAATTCAGCTCAGGGTTTCATTCATCCCACCTCCTCTCCATTCGCGGCCCCTGTGTTATTCAGGAAGTAAAAGGATGGGGAGGTTGCGCTTCTGTATGGACTACCGGGGCCTGAACACAGTATCAGCCACCAATGCCTCCCCCCTCCCCCTAATCAAAGACCTCTTGGCAGAGGCGGCAAAAGGGAAAATCTTTTCCAAACTAGACTTATGAAATGCATACTTCAGAGTGCGCATCAAAGAGGGGGGTGAATATAAGACTGCGTTCAATACCCCTCTGGGGCAATTCAAATACAAGGTTATGCCATTTGATCTCCAGGGGGTGCCGGAGGTGTTTATGCACTTGATCAATGAAGTGTTGCATGAACATCTACCCTGTTTCCCCGAAAATAAGACCTACCCCAAAAATAAGCCCTGGCAGGATTTCTATGCATTTGTGGTATAAGCCCTAGTGTGTCTTCTTGAGAAAAAATAAATATAAGACAGTGTCTTATTTTCAGGGAAACACGGTATTTTGGGGGGCCCTTATTTACATTGATGATATCTTGCTGTACTTCCTCGATGAAGAGTCACATGTGAAATTGGTGAGGAAGGTGCTCCAAACGTTGCACAAGCATAAGTTGTTTGCCAAACTGTCTAAATGTGAGTTCCACAAGTCAAAGATCGATTTCCTGGGCTACAGGATTTTGCCCAGATGTCTCCGGCTAAGGTGCGAGACATATTGGGGTGGGAAACCCCTTGCACCAATAGGCAGCTTCAATCCTTCCTCGGATTTGCTAATTTCTATAGGAATTTCGCTCAGACCTATTAAAAACTCAGGGGAAGGGGCCGGACAGCACGAAACCCAGTGCCAAGCTGATGTGGACCACAGAATGCCAAAATGCCTTTGATAAGCTCAAAACCCTGTTTATGTCTGAACCGGTGTTGGCTCACCCTGACGAACATAAGAAATTCATAGTCCAGGTCAATGCCTCTGACATTGCTATGGGCGGGGCCATTTTGCAGGAGGGGGCGGATGGGAAATTACACCCCCTGGCATATGCTTCCCGCAAGTTTAACTCCACTGAGCGTAACTGGGCCACTGGGACAAGGAGGCGGGGGCTATCAAGCCCACCCTTTTTACTTGGAGGCATTGGTTGGAGGGGGCTCGGATACCTTTCGAGGTGTGGACTGATCATAAAAACCTGGAAGTCTTGCACACACCCCAAAACCTGAATGCTAAGCAGCTTCGGTGGGCTGATTTCTTTTCCAAGTTCCGTTTCACTCTCCACCACTTCCTGGGGAAGGGTAATTCATTAGCAGATGCTTTGTCCCACCTCCTGCAACATGACAGCCACAGGGAGGAGGTACTGGACTCCATGTTCATGCCATCTCAGTTAGTTTTCAATTAACCCCTTCCCCAAAGCACAGAAAAATGCTGAAGTACAGTCTTTCTTTGAACATTTTTATAAAGAAAACAGAGTTTTGAGAAGCCCCTGTGGGAGAGAGGGAGAGAGAAAGAGGTGCAAGTATGAGTTATGTGCATATTGCTAACTAGTTAAAAAATGGTGGCTAGACAAACAAGAGACCAGTCAGCCCAGCCTGATGGCTTGGATGTGCAACAGAGCGACTAGACAACAGGAAATCTGGTTTGAAACCATCTCAGCCCAAAAGGACCAGATTTTCACAGTTATCAAAGCATGCAGTAAAGGGGGGGGGGGAATGTGACACAGAAAACTGGGGTACAACAGACAGATGTTGCTATCTGATCGTGCATTTTAAATCCAGAAGGCAACAGCAACATATCAAACTGCACGTATGATCTCAGCCCATGTGTAACAGGTTCTTTGAATTCGTAGCTTTCTTTTTTTCCCCCACCCATACTCAGCCATCCAGGTTTAATGTGACTTTCCCAAAATTTCACAGTAAAGCAGGTTTGAGAAATATTGGGAAAAAGCTGGGGAACCCCCAGAAGGTGTACAAATGTACCCTGATAGTACGGGGGGGGGGGGGGGGGAACCTGTATTCCAGTAGCATTGAGCCTAAGGCAGGTAACCCAAGTGGAATGGCCATTGTCTCTGGGTTGACATCTGGCAAATCTAGTAGAGTTCACTGTTAGGGGATCAGCAGTTCTTTGCAGAACTTTAGCCTCAGTACTGTAGCTCTGTGGGAGCAATCCTAACCCAGGTCTTCTCAGATGCATGCTCCATTTTATTCAATATGGCTTACTGCCAGTAAGGTACAACCTAGGGTTGCAGCCCATGTAGCCTGCATGACCATCTATATATCTAATTCTGGACCTGCCCCAGAGTGTGAATCAAAAACTCTGCACAATGAGGCCAAGTACAGAAAAATGATTTTTTTAAAAAAAAATGGGGGGGAACTCCAGGTTTGTAGAACAAATGTTGTTTAATTTGTTTGCTCTATTTAAACCCAAATGTTTTATTGTTATTGTGTTGTTGATTGACATGCTGTGACCCGCCCTGAGCTTGCTTGCGGGAGAGGATGGGATATAAGTAAAATAAATCAAATCAAGACTTTTTTTTAAAAAAAATAAAGGGTATAAAAGAAATAGTTTTAAAATGCCAAGATGTCATAAGATTACCTCACAAAATTTCAGCAGCCATACTGGATTGCCTAGGTAACCTCAGATAACAGTCTGCAGTTCCCTAGGTAATCGAGATAATTACTGCAGTTTCGATTTGAAATCTTATGTGAGTTGTGGGTGGATAAGAAGGATGGACAGGCAGGGGGGATGAAGATAGAGTAACAGGAGGTAGGGAGAGGAAAACTAAACAACAAGTGGGGGAGGAGAAGGGGGCTGGACGGAAGGAAGGAATCAGGGAAATGAGAGAAGCTGTGAAGGCTGCAAGGGGGAAAGAAGAGTGGAGATGGCACAGGAAGGAGGACCACCTAAAGGAGGAGCTGATTCCCCTCCCCCCGTGAGTCTTCATAGGTTTCCTTCTTGTATTTTCTAATGTTGAATATATTACTGCTTATCGTTAATATATTCCAAGGTCATCCATTGACTTTCACTCAGTCTGGATGCTCCTTACTGACTTTAGGGGGCAACATCTGCTATAAGCATGGTCAGTGTTCCTGAAAGAGGCAGGTGCCCCTTTCCCAGAATACCATGCTGCCAAGAGCTGGAAGTCACCAGTGCATATTGCACCACCTACACTTGCCATTACCGGGATGCCCCAGAATGAAACAAAGCTTTGTGGTACAGGTCAGATGCTGGGATGTGGTACACTTAATGAAACACTGCATTTGATTCTGAGATAAGCATTGGGTGAAGATAAGACTGCTTTTTTATGAGGATGTGTACATATGTATGAGAGAGAAACAGACATCTTGAGCATCTCTCTGTTTCCCCTAGATGATCGACGGAGAGGCATTCCTTTTGCTGACTCAGGCTGACATTGTGAAGATCATGAGTGTTAAGCTTGGACCAGCACTGAAAATCTATAATGCCATCCTCATGTTCAAAAATGCTGATGACACCTTAAAGTGATCCACCATGAGCAGCACTTGACTTCCTTCTACAGGAGCTGCCAAAACTCTCATCTGTCTGTCTCAGCACAGTGGAGACCTTCCTGACTTGCTGCAGCTGTAAAATCCTGCCAACTTTTGCTCTCTTTGAGTCCATCTTTGTTTACATGCCAAATCAATCCCCTGTCTCTTTCTCCTTCTCTCTCTCTCTCTCTTTCCAACTGGTCTTTCTGAATACTGCCCTCCCATGCCTAGCGGTGGAGCTCTAGCAGTGTCCTTCCTGAAGCTACAGATACAGCCGATCTCTTCTCCTGATGATTTAAAGGCACAGAACAGGGGATTGAGACTGGGCTTGCTACTGGAGTTAACCTACCTTGGATTTTACCCTTTAACTCTTGACTGCCTACAAAGTGTGCCTGGGTTTAGCTGAGGAGGAAGATATTTATTTATGGGTGACCATTACAACCAGTTACCCAATTTTAATTGGCATCAAATCCTTGGAAGTGTTCTAACATCTGATGTTTCTGGGCAAAAATCAGTCCCTCATGATCAGGGTTTTGACCATGAACTTCTCTGAGGGCAGATGATGCTATATCCAGGGACTCGCTGAAGAACTGGGTGCTGGTCCTTCTAGGACAGACTATTAAACTAAATACACCATAGACATTATCCGCCCTAGAAATTATGGATTCATTGCTGCTACTGAAAAAAAGATATTTTGGTGCTCACAATTTAAATACTTGTAAAATTGCCATGTTAACCGTGGAGAATGAGAGGAACGAAGTAGGGTTCCTTGACTTACTTTCTGCTAGTTCAGCCCTTGGGGTCTGCAAGAAACAAACAAAAAAAATCCATAGCATCTGAACAAAACAAATTAGGCAGTCTTACAGCCTTATCACTAAGTAAAAGTGAATAGCACCGTTAATGGAGAGCAGGGCAGGGAATGGCAGCTAACTTAAACCCCTCACCACTAGCTGGGCAGATGTTGAATGGTATGAGATGGAAATCCTGTACAAAGCAGCAATTTTCAGATTATTTATTTTGATTTCATCAGTTCTTCTCTACCAAACTCAATTGCATTCAGTGTGTGCCAAATGTTTATGTTCAGCTGGTTGACAAGGTTCCAAGATTTACAGTGCAGCCCTATGCAGAATTACTCCAGTCCAACAAGCCAATTGGAAATCACTCTACATAGGGCTGCAGTGAGACATTTTAAAACACTGTTTCTGTGTGAATACCTTACACACTGCGGGGGGGGGGGGTGTCATTTGCTGATATTTCTGAGGCCCTGTTGATATTGGCTGGTGATGGACAGGCACAGATGTTCCGTGGAGCTACTTTAGCTATGTAGAGTTACCTGAAGAAACCTTAGTTGCAAAGCCAATTCGGCTATTAGGCAAAGTAAAAAAGGTGACCTCAGGTAGCCTGGCTTGGGTGCTACTAACAAGCAACAAGTTTCCAGTTGTATTATTACTATTAATAGTATTATTATTAATATTAATAGTGGGGGTTGTCTTAGGGTGGGACTTCTAGGACAACGTTTTCTAACTTCAGTCATTCTACAATTCATTTCTCACCCTGTCCTAGAAGTTCAATCCTTAAGGATCTTTATCTCGCTTTACAATCATCCTGTGTGACAATTTAGGTTAAAAGACAGCAGTGTCCATGGACCCCCATCCATGGCCAGGCTGGTGTTTGAATTAGAGTTTTTCAGATTTAAACCCAACCCTCTAACCACTGCACTGCATAGAGTTCCTAGTGTATGGAGCTTCTTAAGGTCATGAAGACTTTTGTTGTTGCTGTTTCTCCTCAAACTGTAAAGGTGGGGTGAATGTTCTTTATCATACATACACCAGCAATGTGTCTCATAGTACTGTGGTCTGTGAAGTCCACTTTTTATGGTTGGGTCAAATTCATGCAAAGCTTCCCATGGAAATGCAGCATTTGACTCAGATATTTATGAAATGCTTGGTCACATGTGGGCTTCCCTTGAAATGGTTGGCCACTTGCCATTTAAGAGAAATGCAGGTCCCAGTTTCTCTCTTTTTATCACGGTAAGCTTTTCTTTTTAGTCCATTTTCAAAACTTTCTTCTCCCTTTGAACATCACTAGATGTTTACTTTGTTGGGAGGAATAATATTGGGGAGAAGAAATATCTGCACTTCTGGATCAAATCCTGCCAACGGATGCAGCTGATTGCTGAGTATATGGTGCCAAAATATCCCCCTTTATCCAAAGAGGTGTTCTTTTTAGCCAACCTTGAAAGATGATGAAGGAGCACTGAAGTTTACCTAGATGATGGTTTTCAATGGGCTTTACAAGGAAAATTTTCATTTTCAGACTCAGTTCTGACAGAAGTCCAGTTTATACAACTTACTTACAGATCAGTCAGCGTATTTGCAGGAAACAAACCACGCAAAGAAGAAAAGAATGACCCTTTTGTTCTCACATCATTCATAAGTTTCCAAGAATGAATACATGCCTCTTGCACTGGAAAGAAAGCCAGACTTCTCAACTCCATCAGCTCTATAGACGGGAATGGCAATGGATTATTGGTTCCAATGATGGGAATGACATTGGCTGCAAATGTAAAGCTGGACAGCTAGTTCCAAAAACACTCCAAAAAGCAGAGACATCTGGCTGCTTCCAAGACCAATAGGAACAGGAAGTGTGTAATGGAGTACAAGCCATGTCTGGTACTGTTCCACTGAGTCATTGATAGTAGGGCGCCTCTTGCACCATGTTTAGACTCTGATCAAGCTAGTTCTGTTTGTCTGACTCTATAGTTTTGACTCTGTTGTTTGGCTCAGGTGAAGTTAACTTTCTGATGAGTCTTGTAATCGGAGCTGCAGCAGGTGGCCACTTGAAGTTCTCAGTGCCAAATGTTACTCCTGTAGCCTTTGGACTTAGAAGCTTTACCTGCCCAACTCCTTTTCCACTCTCTTATGCCACCTAGTGAGAAAGCTGAAGCTGATTTGCACCAGGAATGGAGTCATTGCTTCCAACAGCCCCAAGTTCTTCCAAAAGAAAATGATCTTTACTGGAAGTAAGTGTAAAAAGTGAAAGTTGCTAACATTGTGTGTGTGTGTGAGCTGATGGCAGTGTGCACTCTTTCAAATAACATGGAACTTAAGCACGCCATCCTGTTTATCCTCTCTCATAGATACCTACTGTCATACTTCTTATCCTCTGAGGCATGAAGCTTCTGAATTAATCTAGACTGAGGGCAATTGACAAGAATGATGCAGGGATATTTACTGCTGAAAATTGGAACCCTATCATTCTGGGTAAAGAAAACCAAATCAGTCATAGCTTGTGTGTGCGTGTGTGTAAGAGAGACACAGAATCAAAGGGAACTGACCTTTTCCTGTGTTTGCTCAACACTGTATCTGGAAGGGTTGCGTCAGAGACATTAGCTTTGAAAGGCAGTAGGTGAGGGAGGGAGAGAAGGAAGGTAGCCTTGACCTCCTCAGGTATTCTCTTGAAGCTTATGGCATTTCCAGGTGGCCAAGCACCTGAATGCCAGAGAACCTGGGAGGGGAATATTGCCAATCAGAGCCAATGTCCTGGCTTAGATTGATCTGCTAGTTCTGTATAGGCAGCTACTTGTACATTCTCTCATTGTATAGTAACTTGGCAAGTTACAGTGCTTCTGAAGCATGAGTAGAATACCTAAGAGCCACCCAAGTGCCATACTGATTCTCAGAACTTCACTCCAATAGGCCATATTTTGATAGAGCCTTTCTTGGAAAGGATCCCCGGATGAATCCCTAGCCACTCCAGTTAAAGGACCTTGGCAGCTGGCACCTTTCTGGGTCTGACACCTTGGAGACCCACTGCCAGCTGGGTGGAACAGAACTAAGTTAGATGAACCGATGGTCTGATTCAGTGTAAGGCAGCTTCCAATTTTCATGATCCTGGCATGACTGAAGTTCATAGAATAGGGAATCAGCTGATGCACCTGAGGAGTTATTTTGTCTTGAGAATCTTAACAAGCTCCTTTTTGGGAGCCAACGGCAGCTAAAATTTCTCCTGAGCAAATACTCATAGGAGATGTGGTCTCACTCTCTACTTGCCTCCTCATAGATTCCTGCACAGTAGGCAGTCATTTCTAGTTCTTAGCACTTGGGATCATAGAAACCTTTTCCAAGACTAAGCAAGACAATCAGCCAGACAGCCGATGCAAATGGGTTGGAACCCCTCCCCACTTCTGCTCATGGTACTGTTCTGAATAACAGGTCCAAGTAAATGGGAGAATCATAACACATGGTGGCTCGATAGAGGCCGCTTTCTGGTTATTCTCCACACTGCTGTGGCAGTTATGATTTATCCCAGCAAGCATTAGTAGATGGGCTTAATTCTCTTGTTCCTGGTTTTGCAAGGAATGGATGAGAATTAGCATCGTTCTAGTTGTGGAATGATTCACCAGGATAAGGCCTGATGTGCTTCTATGAAACAAGAGACGGTATTACATAATCTTCAGCTTGTGTTGAATCTCTTGTTTGGTGTATGAATTGATCAACATGCATTAGAACAGGTCACTACAGAATAATAAATTAATTGACTTCAATGGGATTAGAAAGATGTAACTCTATTTAGGATTGCACTGTTAGGGTTAGAAGGGGTTTAGTGGATCACATGACCCTACTTCTTCACCTAAAGCAGAACATCTTTCCCTGAAACATCCCCAAACAGACGGTGGTCGAGCTTCTTCCAAACTTCAAAGGAAGAAGACTCCAGAAATCCTCTAAGCCGTTTGATCAGATTGGTTTGTTGGATGTTTAACTCGCCCAATCTAAGAATTTGGGGGCATGAGCAACAATATTCTGTCCTACGCCTTCCTATCCCTGGCCACCAAAAGTCAGGTGTTTTAAAAATAAATCCATCTTCTCAAAGTCATGTAGGCTTGAGGTTTGACAGCTTTCCAGAGGAAAAGGATTCCAGAGCGGAAATGAAATTGTCCGAATTTTGAAACTTTCAGTATGACAACATCAAGCGTGCCACATACTTGTTTTAGCCATA